TGGAGAAGTGCAGTTTCTGAAGAGAAGAATGGCTCAGATTAATTCAATTACCCAAATAAGCACTTACATGCTTAATAAAGTCATCTAATGAAATGAGATGACATATGAGATGCTCTCTCAATTCATCAAGCAACTTCCCTTTCAAAGAGACTTTTTTAGCCCCCACAAGCTGGATTTAGAACATGCCTTGGGACCAATTGCTGCCTTCTCAGTTTTCTCCCCCACAACCTGATGGCAAAGCAAGAGATTTCAGTCTGCTTTCTGATATACATTCAAATGTAAGTCAAAAACTTTCAATTCCACACAGAGCAAAACCTCTGGAATGTGTTAAAATACATTTGTTTGGGTTTGTTTTGGATCTTTTAATTTTGTTGTATATTTTTGCTGACGTGAGCAGCTCCAGAGAGGAGCCTCCAAGCCTGGAGCGAGGGGAAACGCAGCGTCCAGGAGCCTCAGTTCTGAGTGGTGAGAATCACTGAGGGAACTGCTCTCTTCTTGCTGGGATCCATTGATAGGATGTGTGGGAATGGTTCAAAGCTGCACTACAGGCAGTTTAGGGTAGACATTAGGAAGCATTTCTTTACCTAGAGACTGGCCAAACACTGGAACAGGCTTTCTAGAGAGGTGACCAATGCCCTGTGCCCATCAGTGTTTCAGAGGCATTTGGACAGCATCTTTATTGCATAGAGGGCAGATTTTTCAAATCCTTGAAATGCAGAATGACTGATGGTCCCACTCCCATAGGCTTGTTTCTTGAGTGGTCCATCGGGGGGACTGGCCTTCCTTGGGATCTGCACTGCAGATAGCCCCCCAGGTCTACGTCAGGGCGTGTCATACATGGCTATATTCTATAGTCCCATCATAGAAGGCCACCAAATTGGTCAGACAGGATTCCTCCTTAGTGAAGCCATGCTGGCTGTCAAAAGCCACCTCATTGTGTTTCCTGTGCCTCTCAGCATGCTTTCCAGGAGAATCTGCTCCAGGATTTTGCCAGGCACAGAGGTGCCGAGGTGAGCAGCTTCAGAGAGGAGCCTCCATTGCGGAGCGAAGGGAAGCCCCTCTTGCAGGCGCCTCAGCTCTGAGCGGCGAGACCCATCAAGGGAGCCCCGAGCCCTCGCCAGGCCTTGCCCAGGTGCCGGGAGCTCCGCTGAGGCGGGCAGGGACTCACAGGGGGCGGTTCCAGGAGGGACGGCGCCGGCCTGAGAGGGTAAAACCAGCCCCAGGGAGCGCGGCGAGCAGGGTGCGGTGCAGCAGCTGGCGGCGAGCGGGTGAGGCTGGTGGTGAGCGGGTGAGACTGGTGGTGAGCGGGTGAGACTGGTGGTGAGCGCTCGCCTCAGGCCCGGGCCCGACCTGGGAGCTCTGCTCTGGCTGCCCCGGCGGTGTCAGCGTCGGCACCAGACAGAGCCGGTGCGAGGGGAGGCTGCAGCGCTGAGCTCGGCGTGTAGAGAGTACCTGCACTGCTCTGGTGAGGGAAAGGTGCACAATGGGCAGGGCTGCACTCGGTGCTCCCTGATGGAGGCCCTCCTGCAGCAGGTGGCTGAGCTGCAGGACGCTGTCAATAGGCTGAAAGATGTCAGGGAAGCTGAGAGGGAGCAGCAAAAAAAAGGAGGAAGAGGACTATCAACAGCAAGGGGTTTCCTCCAAAATCTGACACCCCCACCCAGGAACGCTCTGCAGCTCTGCGGGGAGCTGACAAAGACATGCACACTGCACCAAATGACCAACCCCTGATGCACCAGTGAAGAGAATCATTACTGGTGCCTCCAGGAGAAAGCAGCAGGTCTTAGTAGTTGGTGACTCTCCTTTTGAAGGGCACAGATGCACCCATCTGTCTGCCTGACCGGGTGTCAGGGAGGTGTGTTGCCTACTGGGGGCTCGGATCAGGGATGTTGCTGGGAGGATGCCTGCTCTACTGAGTCCCACTGGCTCTTTAGGAAAGACAGGCCAGGCAGATGGGAAGGAGAATTATCCATTTATGTCAGTGATAGGCTGGAGAGTATGGAACTCTATCTGTGGACTGGCAATCAGTCAACAGAGTTTGTGGGTCAGGGTCAAAGGGAGAGCAGTGATGGGGACATTAATGTGTGGAATCTGTTACAGGTTGCCTGATCAGGAGGGGTCTGTGGGTGAAGCTCCCTATAGACAGATAGGAACAGCCTCACACTCACAGGCCCTTGTCCTCATGGGGGACTTCAACCACCCTGATGTCTGTTGGATGGACGGTACAGCCCGGCACAAACAATCCAGGAGGTTCCTCAATTGTGTGGACGACAACTTCCTTCTGCAAGTAATAGAGGAGCCGACAACGAGAGGTGCCATGCTTACCTTGTGCTCACCAACAAAGAAGGGCTCGTTGGAAATGTGACACTCCAGGGCAGCCTTGGTTGTAGCAATCATGAGATGGTTGAGTTCGAGATCCTCAGGACAGTGAGAAGAGTGTGCAGCAAGCTCACTGCCCTGGACTTCAAGAGAGCAGACTTTGGCCTCTTCAGGAACCTGCTTAGTAAGGTTTCATGGGATATAGCCCTAGAGGGCAGGGGGGCCCAAGACTCTTGGTTGACATTCAATGATCACCTGCTCCAAGCTCAGGAGTGCTGCGTCCCAGCTAGAAGGAAGAGCAGGAGGGCCAGGAGACCTCCTTGGATGGATAAGGAGCTGCTGAGGAAAATTCAAAGGCAGAAGCAAGGAAAGGCGGCCTGGGAAGAGTACAGGGATGTTGTCCTGGAAGCTAGGGACCAGGTCAGGAAAGCTAAGGCCCAGTTAGAATTAAATCTGGCAAGGGATGTGAAAGATAACAGGACGGGCTTCTATAGGTATGTAGCAAACAAAAGACAGACTAGGGATAATGTGGGCCTTCTCCAGAAGCTATTAGGAGAACTGGCGAGCCTGGCTTTGGAGAAAGCTGAGGATCACAATAACTTCTTTGCCCCAGTCTTCACTGGCAAGTGCTCTGCCCACACTGCCAAAGTCTTGGAAGGCAGATGCAGGGACTGTGAGAATGAAGACCTTAGGCCCTATGTAGGAGAGGATGAGGTTTAAGATCATCTTAAGAACCTGAATGTGCACAAGTCCATGGGACCTGATGAAATCCATCCGCAGGTCCTGAAGGAGCTGGTGAATGAAGTTGCTAAGCTGCTGACCATCATATTTGAAAAATATTCCTGACAACTGGAAAAAGGGAAATATAACCCCCATTTTCAAGAAGGGGAAAATGGATGACCCAGGGAATTACAGACCAGTCAGTCTCACCTCTGTGCCTCGCAAAATCTTGGAGCAGATTCTCCTGGAAGGCATGCTAAGGCACATGAAAATCAACAAGGTGCTTGGTGACAGCCAGCATGGCTTCACTAAGGGGAAATCCTGCCTGACCAATTTGGTGGTCTTTTATGATGGGGCTACAGAACTGATGGACAGGGGTAGAGCAGTTGATGTCATCTACCTGGACTTGTGCAAAGTGTTCGACACTGTCCCACACGACATCCTTGTCTCTAAATTGGAGAGACATCAATTTGATGAATGGACCACTTGGTGGATAAAGAACTGGCTGGAGGGCCGCACGCAAAGAGTTGTGGTCAATGGCTCAATGTACAGCTGGAGACCAGTAACGAGTGGTGTCCCTCAGGGATCAGTGTTGGGACTGGTCTTGTTCAACATCTTTGTCGCTGACATGGACAGTGGGATTGAGTGCGCCCTCAGCAAGTTTGCCGATGACACCAAGCTGTGTGGTTCGGTTGATACGCTGGAGGGAAGGAATGCCATCCAGAGGGACCTTGACACGCTTGTGAGGTGGGCTGATGCCAACCTCATGAAGTTTAACCATGCCAAGTGCAAGGTCCTACACCTGGGTTGGAGCAATCCCAGACACAGCTACAGGCTGGGCAGAGAAGAGATTCAGAGCAGCCCTGCAGAGAAGGACTTGGGGGTGTTGGTCGATGAGAAAATGAACGTGAGCCGGTTTCAGTGTGCGCTTGCAGCCCAGAAAGCCAACCCTATCCTGGGCTGCAGCAAAAGGAGTGTGACCAGCAGGTCAAAGGACGTGGTCCTGCCCCTCTACTCTGCTCTTGTGAGATCTCACTTGGAGTATTGTGTACAGTTCTGGTGTCCTCAACATAAAAAGGACATGGAACTGTTGGAGCAAGTCCGGAGGAGGGCCACAAGGATGATCAGGGGACTGGAACACCTCCCATATGAAGACAGGCTGAGAAAATTGGGGCTGTTCAGCCTGGAGAAGAGAAGGCTGCTTGGAGACCTCATAGCAGCCTTCCAGTATCTGAAGGGGGCCTATAGGGATGCTGGGGAGGGACTCTTCATTAGGGACTGTAGTGACAGGAAAAGGGGGAATGGGTTTAAACTTGAACAGGGGAAGATATAGCAGAGTTAGATACAAGGAAAAAGTTCTTTACTGTAGGGGTGGTGAAGCACTGGAATAGGTTGCCCAAGGATGTTGTGAATGCTCCATCCCTGGCAGTGTTCATGGCCGGGTTGGACAGAACTGGGGGACATGGTTTAGTGTGAGGCATCCTTGCCCATGGCACGGGGATTGGAACTAGATGATCTTAAGGTCATTTCCAACCGTAAGTATTCCCTGATTCTATGGTTTTAGCAATTTGGTCAGTTTTGTCTTGCTTCAGGAATATGAGAACCCTGAGTCTGAGGATTCATGCATATTAAGTGATGTCCCAAGCTCCCATAATTATATACTTTATATGTATATCTACCTGTGAGTGTAGAGTTGTGTCTTGCTTGGAGCAGACAAGTGTTTGCAACACAGTGTTTAAGCTTGCAGGCAAAGCTTCCCAACTATGCCCAGGAACACCTAAAAGAAACACATTTGTCCATGCTTAGACAAGCACGTACTAGTAGGCCAAGATTCAGCCTCACTCCTACTTGCTGCATCCTATGTTTTTAGTTGTTTATCCTGTGAGAAGATCAAAGCCAAGGTTTTATCAAGTTCTGGTCTCTAACGCATCATTCAGTGCTCACTTAGGAGTGTGCACAAAGTGTCTCTGTGGTCCTTTGTGCAAGCAGCACCAGAGATGTAAAGAGGCATGGGGAAAATGCAGCTAATACTGATTTGGTGAATATTTCATCAGGGCCTCACACAAATCCCACGCTCAAATGTGACACAGAGGTAAGGAAACAAACCAACCAGCTGGAGGCCCTCCAAGTTGGTAACTATTTCTGCTCATTTTTTCAGGTTTATCTACCTTGCTGAGTGCTTCTGTAAAGTTCTGTCATGTCAATATTTCATTTGGAGAAGAGAAATTCAGTTCAATTGAGTAATTGAGAGAAGCATCTGGGCCAGATGCACTCTTTAGTTTTGAGTAATGTCGCTTTTACCAGTAGCCTTGGGTCCTGAGGCACAAGTAATGAGAGGTCCAGGAGAGTGGAAGGTACAGTAGATAACAGCAAGATTCCACAGACAACATCTTCTTGATATAAGTGAAGTAAATACAGTTAAAGCCTATTTATAGCAAACTGCAAAGATCTGTCAGGCTGCACTCTGAGGCTTGTGCAATGTTTGCACGATGCCAGCATAGGAAAGACTGGTTTTCTGTTATTTTGGTTTCTGTTATTTCCAGTATCATCCCCAGTAGTGTTCCGTACCTCTCTTCAGACCTGCATGTGCTGTGGGAATAACGTTCATGAACTGTACCTCTTTTCTGTCATGCCGTCTCAAGGTATGCCTGAGCCGCCTAGGCATGGCAGTCCCTCCAAGTAGCCCAAGCAAAAGAAGTGTTCCTGGCATGTGTTTGCTCTGACTGCCTTAGGGGCACAGGAGGAAGGAAAAAGGATCAACCACCTCATGGAACAGCTTATGTAAGAGGATTACTGGGAGATAGAGAAGGGAAAGAAGGAAGGGCTGGATGAAGAAACTGGTGGAAAGCTGTTGAATGTCATAACATTAAGAGCAGCATTTCTAACTTCTGGGAACAAAGCCATCTCACATTCTCAGATGTGTGTTTGGTATGTATTAGACAAGGTTATGCCATGCTTTTAAAGTGTTGGTTTAAGAAGATGCTTTTCAAAGATAAGCCACCTAAAAATACAAAGAATTGAAGGAAAAAATGAAAGTTCTCATTTATTTCTAAACACTTGTGAGAACTACATGCCCAGAATAAGCATCTCGTGAGTCAGGACAGTTACTCCTGGACAAGTTGAGACCTCAGGCTTTCATCACAGACTGCTCTTCTCTGCTTCTATATTGTTCTGAGCAGGCTGTCACTAACTCCCAATCACAACAGCATCTGATTCATCCTTTTTCACACACAGCAGTGGGAACATAAAAGAGATTGTTAGTTTTCCAGGCACAGTTTCTGTTCACTGGCTTTGACTTATACAGAAAATAGCACCTACCATTTCATTAACCAGCTCTAAACCCCAAGGACTTCTTAAAAAACAACTAACCAAACTCCAAAGGATAAGTGTACACCAAATTGGCAACCCCACACTTGTTAATGAGCCAAAACACAGTGTAAGCCACATTCACATGCAAACACAAAGTTTTCCTTCAACTCCTCTTCAATTCAAAATGGAATGCAAGCAGTCAAATATCTGACAAAAGGCCATTTTTGCCTCTATCAATCTGTGCTTTCAGAAATCACAAAGCTTCAAAACAAATGTATAAATGAAACTATGAAAAAAAACTATGAGGACTTACAGGTACTGGCAAAATACACTTGAATATCTATTGATACACTGCCTTTCCTTCACTTTGTACCTTGCTGACTTGTCACCCTTTTCCACAGAAGGACATGTCCAACCTCATTCAAGCAACCTTGGTGGACTACAGCTCTCCCTGCCTACGCAGTCCTGAGCCATGACACAGCTGTGGGATGATGAGGAGCTCTTCAGCTGTAACTGTCTGTCCTGGGTCCAGCAGTAGCAGTTATTTTTCTCCTTAGTAACTGGTGCAGTGCTGTGGTTTTGACTTTCAGCCTGGGAACAGTGCTGATAACACCGGTGTTCTTAGTTGCTGCTCAGTAATGTTTACTCTGACCAAGAACTTTCTGAGTCTCATGCTCTGCCAGGGAGGAGGGGAAGCTGGGAGAAAGCAGAGACAGGACACCTGACCCAAACTAGCCAAAGGGGTATTCCATACCACAGCACATCACGCCCAGTATATAAACTGGGGGCAGTTACTCAGAAGGGCTAGATGGCTGCTCGAGTCAGGCTGGGTATCGGTTGGCAGATGGTGAGTGGTTGTATTCTCTTCCCTTGTTATTTCCCTTATCATTATCCGTGATCTGCTCTTTGCTGATGATGCCGCCCTTGTTGCCCACACAGAAGCAGCTCTGCAGCGTTTAACATCTTGCTTTGCGGAGGCGGCTGAGGTTTTTGGGCTGGAAGTCAGCTTGAAGAAGACAGTAGTCCTCTACCAACCTGCACCGCGAGAAGATTATCGCCATCCCCATATTACCATCGGCAAGTCAGACCTTAAGACAGTTCAGCAGTTCAGCTATCTGGGAAGCATCATTTCCTCGGATGCCACGATCGACAAAGAGATAGACAACAGAATAGCAAAGGCATATAGAGCCTTTGGAAAACTCCATAAAAGAGTCTGGTGTAATAAACACCTGAAGAAAAGTACAAAGGTCAGTGTCTACAGAGCCATTGTATTGTCTACTCTTTTATATGGGTCTGAATCATGGGTCATCTACCGTCATCACCTGCGACTCCTGGAACGCTTTCATCAGCGCTGCCTCCGTACAATTCTAAACATCCATTGGACTGACTATGTGTCTAATGTCACTGTCCTCGAACAGGCAGGGGTCACCAGCATCGAGGCCATATTGCTGAAATTGCAGCTGCGCTGGGCAGGGCACGTCTCTAGAATGAAGGATCACCGCCTCCCCAAGATCGTGGTTTACGGTGAACTTGCCACTGGTAGCCGCAAGAGAGGTGCCCCAAAGAAGAGATATAAGGACTCCCTGAAACAATACCTTAGCCTTGGCCATATTGACTACCATCAGTGGTCCACCTTGGCATACAGTCGGGAGACTTGGAGGCACACCATACATAATGCCGCTGACTCCTTTGAGAGTTCATGAAGAACTAGTCTCGAGGAGAAAAGACAACGCAGAAAGGATCGCACCCTACCTATACCACCCAAGGAGACCTTCTGCTTTTTGTAGCCGGATTTGCCTATCCCACATTGGCCTTCTTAGCCATCAGCGCGCTTGTAGTAAGCGTGGGTAAAAGCCCTTCCCAAATCTTCGTTCGCAAAGTCAAGCCATGATGATGATTATAGGTGGTAGCAGTAGTGGTTTTGTGTTATACCTTAATTACTAGACTGTTCTTATCTCAACCCGTGGGAGTTACATTCTTTCCATTCTCCTTCCCATCCCTGCAGGAGCAGGGGGAGTGAGCGAGTGGCTGCGTGGCTCTGGGTTGCTGGCTGGGCTTAAACCATGGCACTGTCATACAACGCAGATGGTGCCATACCCCCTGATCTTGCTTCTGGTGCCCCTAAATCCACATCTCCTCCAGCTCCTACTCTGTAGGGTTAATACCACCACTCTCACCCACCCCGGACTGCTGAAGGCTCTGGTGACCTGGGCACCAGGGGTAAGTGAATAGCTAGGCAATCGGCTGAGACAGTGTATGCTTCAAATCTGACATAGTCTGTGGGCTTGATATCACAGTGACAATCTCACAAATGGCCCTGGAGCAATGCAATCAAGCAGAAGAGAATCAGCAGATACTTGTATGACACACAGCCACGGTCTGGAGAGAAGGTCAGATGGAAGGGAGAGGATTCAGGGAGTTTTCTTAAGCACAGGAAATGGATCTACAACAGTTCAAGAGCAAGCTAATTTCTAAACGAGTAGTCAAAATTTACATTTTTACCTTCCAAGACTTCTAAAAACATCATTGTAAGAGACCGTCATCACTAAAACAACCAGCAGCCATTAAGGACACCAAAATCTTCCCCTTTTCTGAAAGGCACTGCTGTTTCCACACACATTTGTCAAGTCGTATTTGTTCTGCTGTTGTCTCATGCTGGACAGCAATACAGTAAACACCAGTCAAATGATTCACTTGGATAACACTTGCAATCAAAGTTTCGCTTAGAATATGTAACTAAAGCCCACACGGGCTTGTGTACAGAAGTCTCTTCACATGGATGTTTTATTGGCCAAGTACTGTATTGCCATCTACCGGAGAGTGAAGAAATAAAATCCAGTAAAGGGATCTTGCGTAGTAAAGGAACTCTGCTTCCTGTGCATTTTTGGCTTTAAATTTCCCTGTCTCTATACAATTAGTCTAAGACTCTGATGGCATATAAAATTGTTCTCTGTATGCTAAAGAGTTTGTAGTCTTCACTGTCTTCAAAGTTAAGCCACATAAATATCACTTTTAGAGTGAGACAGGTTAAATACTGTAGATAAACGTTTCTTCAAAATGAGCTCATGTGGTCCCTGTAGAGCTGGAACTACTAGATAAGCAGCCAGAAAAAATTTTGCTAAGGATTAAAGCTTTCTTAGTCCTGAACTTCTGTATTTGTTTGACCTTTGTGGTCTAACAGTTGTAAAAACGGCTAATAAATGGCTAAATAATATTACTCCTGAGATAAAATTACTACCAACAGAATTTATGCCAAAGGCAAATTAAAACAAAATATGTAAAACTTTCTCCCTCTTTCCATCTTCTTTGGCCTGTGAAATGAATCTGTGTTACTGTACTTATTGATATACAGTAATCTCTTCCTGCCTTCCAATCTTTTTTAAGTCCATAAAGTTTTATGTTCATAGAACATAGGGAGAAGAAGAAGAATCAAAATTGCTGGTACAGCCTTAACTCACCCTGCCAAGTCCTCTGCAACTGCCTTTGATGAGCTGAAAGTATTCCATACAGGATGCTCCTCTTGATTGCTGCAGAACGTGACTTTCCATTAAGAGACTGTCCAGGTGGCAGGTTTAAAAGAAGTGACAAAATATAATCCTATAGGCCTGCATTAGTGGGGAAGTTTGAGGCAGATAAGTGCAGTATCAGAAAGGGAGGGTTTGTGGCTGTGTCAGCTGGGGCTGGTTTGAGTCAAGGCCCTAATACAGAAAGTATTTTTTAAAAAAGATACTTTGTTTAAAAAGACAGATAAAGATTACTCAAAGGTTGGCTGTGTCGCAAGAGGAACGTGCTCCAGCCACCACAGCTCTCCCGAGTCCTGCCCACCTGCACCCCTGCCTCCTCCCCATCTTCCTTTACATCTGTCCTGTGCCAGTCCCATATTTTCACTCACCCTTTTCTCCTCCTCATCTCTCCTTGCTTGCCTTGCCATTGTATCATTTCTGAGGTGCTTGTTTCTATCTATTCTTCTCTGCTGAATACCACAGCTGTAAGTATGTCACTCAAGACAACTTACTCATTGCTGCTGAGACTCAGCTGGTGCAGCAGAAAAAAAGGCTTTTTGGTTAGGGAACATCCCATTCAGTTCCTACAGCATTACAGCAAATCTGCTGAACAGACATGCATGGTGCACAGTGACTTCAGCCAGCATCAAGGCTCGCTTCAAGCTGGACCTTTTTGGGTATGAAGTAATAAAATCATCTCATCGTTTAACTGTTGCATATCAGCAAGTTAACAAAAATCACAGAAGTGACGAGACCCAGACTTTGCCAATAGCTGTGATCCTAAAGCAGTGAGGCAGCACATGCCCAAGGGCAGAAGAATAATAAGTACAATGGAGGGGTTGTTCTTATCAGTTTGTTTTTGGTTTTTTTTCCATAAATGGTTGAATGATTTTTTTCGTAGTGGAGAAAAGATCAGTTCTCAGTCCCCATGGCTGGCACTAGTATTTATCAGTATAGTGTTTATCACATCAATTTTGGGGGTTTCTTTCTCAGGAGAAAGGATATTTCTGCTAATCTCCTTTCCTTGAAAACAAAGAACATTGGTTTCATTCTCTGTGTCTCATACAGGGCATGCTGTATATCTCTGAAGAAAATCTACCACACCATCTGACATTGTTCATATTCCATTTTGTAGCAACCCTTAAGACAGAGGCCAGTCTCAGCGCTAAGTAACATATGACTGGGAGGTAAATACAATCACTTTGCTACAGGTACAGTTATCCTTCAAGCTTCGAGTCAGGAGATCACTCTATTGGTTCAATTTTCTGTGCAGCAGTTTGGCCATTTTTCCATTTTGACGAGGCTATATTTCTTGAAAACAAAGAGAAAAAGCCAAGCAGGGTGGGGAGCTGGGGATGTTTCCAAGCAGAGCTCTGAGAGACAGTGTGCAGGAGACACAAACTTCAGAAATAATAGTATATTTGTTTCATCCAATAAATATTCTGTGTTGCATTAAAAGAAAAAGCTCTGTGATTCGCTGCCATTCAGAAACATTCCATGTAGCTCTGTGCCATGCCATTTTATCTGCTTCTTGTAGCTCCTACAGGAACCAGTACCACATGCAGCCCTACAGTGCCACCACCTGCACCATGTGGGTGCCACCACAACTCCCTCTTGCTTGAGTGGGTTTACATGTTTGTCGTGGTTTAAACCCAGAAGACAGCTCATGCACTCCTTCCCAGTGAGTGGTGTTGGGCTGGAAGCAGTCAAGGCCCACGTTCCCCCCGCCCCGGGGACTCCCCCTCTTCCCCACTCCCGGAGGGATGGGGAGGAGAATCGAAAGAATGCAACTCCCACGGGTTGAGATCAGAACAGTCCAGCAGCCAGTGTACAACACAAATCACCACCGCTACCACCACTAACAACAATGATAAGAGATAATAGCAAGGGAAAAGAGTACAATACCACCCGCCGAACAACGAGTCCTACCCAGAAGACCCCGTGTCCTTCTGCGTAACTCTCAGTTACCTCCTGGGCATTACGTGCTGTGGTATGGAATACCTCTTTGGTCAGTTTGGGTCAGGTGTCCTGTCTCTCCTTCCTCACAGCTTCCCCTCCTTCCTGGCAGAGCATGAGGCTCACAAAGTCCTTGGCCAAACCAAAACATCATTGTTATCAGCTCTGTTCCAAGCCGAAAGTCAAAACATAACAGTGCACCAGCTACCAAGAAGGAGAAAAATGACTGCTACTGCTAAACCCAGGACAATGTTTCTCTACATTTTACCTACTGGATGTCATTGCAGTCACTGCTATCAAATAAAGCAGTGACAGAATTGTATGCTGTACAAGATGAGGGCAGGGATGGTCAGTGCAGCACATTTCCTATGAAGAGAGATTAAATAGCTCTGAGGTCCCAAGGCAGAGACTGAGGTAGGATAGGATGAAGGACAGTGAAATGATATTGGCCAGAATGGAGAACAGGTTGTTCAGGGACTTCACAACACAGTGAACCACTGATATTAAGTCAACAAAAGGAAATAATTGTTCACGACTGTGTGGTTAAATTGTGGTATTCCTTACAGCAAGCTACTTCAGATGCCACAAAAATTAAGGAATTGGAGAGACTGTGGAATATAGCTTCATTTATGCCTGCTAAAATGATTATGGTGTGACTGCAGGCTTTAGATCAGGACACATTTAAACCACAGAGAGCTGGAAGAGTGTACAGGGGAAAAGGTGTCACTCTTTCCACAAACATAGTTTAGGATGCATCTGGAGGAAAGATAAAATAATGAGATGAAGAAATCCTTACTCCGACCTAATACTACTGTTCCTACACTAATGTATTTGGGAGACTTACTGATAGCCTAGAAGGTGCAGCAGCTGGAATGTGCAGCTAGTGCTTTCCTCCTTGTATCTCATTTTTTCCATGGTCCAGACTAGAGGTAACAGTATAGATTTAGCCATAGTGGTCAAGTATAAGATCGCTTTTCTTTTGGCTAAGAGGAATCTGCAGTACCTCAAACCCCAGTTAAATTGCCCAGAAGCCTGTGAGAATTCAAATGAAATAGGAAAAGGCCTTTCAATTAAAAACTGAGTAGCTTACTACTGTGTTATTCCACAGGACTTCTCAAACTTCAGAGGACTTCTCAAACTTCAACTGATGCCAACAGCAGCAACTAGGGAATGATCTCTCCTGACTGACACTCTGTTTTCATACACAGTTTATGGAGCTTAGTTAATGTGTCGCCCTAAACAGTTGCTGCTTTTCTCTTTCTGTATGATAATGAATCTTGTGACAAAGCCAAAAGTACCTGATGAGAAGGAAAGGAAACAGAAATGTTTTCGTTGCAAAGATCACCACAGGGAGACATGGGTGATTTAAGCACCTGTGCAGTGAGTAACACAAATGTGGCTCATACACTATTTTGCCCTCCCATCCTTTCTTTTCTGCTTATTACTAACACCTCAAAGAGCAGGAAGCAGGGAAACTATCCATCCCATTTAGTCTAGACAAACTCCAGACATCTATTTTCTCGCTGTTATTCCAATTACTAATTGTTTAGGGTCGAAGCGACCGCACAAACCAGAGAAAAACTGCAGCAGCCACTGCTAGAACTTGGGTACCTGGGAGAGGCTGGAGGCTGCCATTGCAGGGGTGTAGGAGCCTGGTGGATCACCCCCAGGGCTGGCAGCCACCCCAGAGTGCTCAGTGGCCTGTCCTCCAGCAAGTCCTCCCAGCACAGACCCCTCTGGACTCTGCTTTACTGCCCTTCTCACTAAATAAATGGCTGTTCACGATCCACAAAGCCCACGTTCACTGGCTGTAGCCTGTGCATTGAAGTCTGCTCCCTGCCACTGTTTTCTATGGGAAAGTGGTGAAAAATCCCTCCGTCAGTGTCAGGTTTTTCCAGGAATAGGGCCTGTTGTGCTAAGTATGTGCACATGAGGGAGCTTTCCAAGCTTGAGCAATCCATCTGGCAGCAGTATGCAATGCTATAAGATTTGTTTCTGCAGAACAGGATCAAGAGCTGATTTAATTGCATTAGTCACCAAGCAGCAGTACCGCTGATCTTGGACCCAGAGTGCTGGCTGTCCAGCAAGTCTCATGGTTATTTTAACTCTGTTTGTTTGACCTTTTCAGTGGTCTGGACCCCTTGAGGAGCTGGAGAATGCTTAATCCCACCGCTGCTGCCTCTGAAATGAAGAGTGGCTAGGGCCAAGCGTTAGCTAAATAGGATGCACAGGCTGAGTAACGGTTCATCTTCACGGGGGAAATGTCTGACTCTTACTGACTGACTTTAAAGAAACCATTTTTTAAATGGTGTCTGAATTTGATGGGAAGGAAAGAAATGAATGAAGCTTGTTGCTGTTTATTGCTCTGCAGATCATTAAATATTTCTTCCTTTATTAGCTGTGAGATTTCATCATGGGCAGAACCAAATACAGATCTGCAGAACAGAACCAAAATCTGACATTTAGACCCAGAACCACTTTTTTTCTCAAAGTTTGTGGGTGTTTGCCTCATGTTACCACTGATTCAAGCAGGATGAAAAGAAAGAAGCTGAAAAAGTTATGTCCTAAGAGAAAGTTTTCAAGGTCCAACAGGGCTCTCTCTTTCAGCTATATATAACACTGTTACTTGCTGCAATTCCTATTGCTGTAGATAAAGTATTGCACAAGTTTAAGTAAGTCTCCAAATAATATTTCTAAAGAGCTGTTTACTTCCAGATCATTATTTTTTTAACCTCTTGAGCCAAACTCTCTGAAACTGCACAGCATCTGGGAAGGAAATCATTGCTCAAATTGCCCATGTCAGGACAGACGCCAGACAAACTGCTCCATAGCAGTGATAGCTCACTCATTGCTGTCTGAACAACACACTTGTGTCTTGGAGTCCTGCATTCTTCAGCTTTCAGGAGAACACTTGTCAAAGCTGAACTGACACAACAATCTGTACATGAGGAGCCATAACACAACTTGCCTTCGACTCCTCTCATGCTAGATTACTCCTGCATGGTAGATTCTGAAAGAAGAGAAAGGCTAGAAGGAATTTTGCACCAAATAATCTGTAAAACTGTAATACTAACAGACGAGTCATACAGAAATAAGGATGAAATACATAAAATTTATTATATGATCCCTACTATTATGGAGCTCCATACCCTATGGTGTCTGAAAGACCTCAGAAAAAAAACATACACCTGATAGCCACATGCAGTTGAATTGTAAGAAGCTACCAAAAGAATCATATATCTGGTTTAATAATCTTTATCTCACAGGCTTTTGGTAAAATTTGACACTGTATTCTTAAAAGATCAGACACCACTGAGTTTTGAGGGTGATAAAGATGATCTAAATGTGCTAACGGGTTATTTGAGCTCACTCCAACACTGAGCTCACAGGGTGAAGCTAATAAAACTGGAATAGTTATCCCTCAGGGCAAGCCTGCTTTTAGCTGGTAGTACTTTACTATTTGAAACTTCCTGATTAACACTTCCTGGGATTCTGTAAATAGCTGGGGAGGAAGACATCTGTGTCCAGATAAAAGACGCTCATGGATTTGCTGTCAGAGATGTGCAGTTCCCAGAGCAGCATTACCAGTGATCCCCATGAGCCAAAGGAGATGACTGTGAAAATGATGTCTCTGGTGACAAAGAGAGTGAGAGGGACAAAGGGACAGGCACACAATAGACCCTGGCTGTGGAGGTCACCTAGGACTCTAGTAGATTATCCAGTGAAATTTTCAATAGCAAGAAAGATAACATGTAAATTCCTCCAGGTTCATTTATGTTCTGTTTTAATCTGACCATCGAGTCAGGACAAGCAGATGTGATTTCAAAATTCATTTTTATGGTGTGAAATTGCTTTACCACATAAAGAGTGGGGAGGGGCTGAGGTTTGGTTTTAGCAGAAAGTTAGCATTTCAGACTACACTTCTTTTCAGCTAACTAAAACATGATAACCTTTCTTCCTCTATTGCCACACAAACATACATGGTATGGCTCCAACTCCATTCTGAAAAGATACTCTGTAAAAAAACATATCCATATTTATTGGTCTCAGTCACTCAAACCTCAGATCTGCTCATTTAAAAGTAAAAAAGATGCTTTTTCTAGCTGCCAGTGCTTAAACTGCACCTGGCTCACAAATCATCTCTCATAGACTTCAGCTGCACCTTAACTGTGCCTGCAAGGCATCTTGCTGGGCTGGGATTATGGATGAGGCAGTCGGTGCCGGCAAGAACACAGACTGTCTTTCACAGCCCTGAGAGAGTGTGCGGGGCTGGCAGCCTTATAAAACATCTTTTTCTACTTCTAAGCTAAATGCATTCGAACTGCTGGTCAGCTGAAGCATTCCAGAAATCACCGGAGGTTCTGCTGAATGCCCCAAGAGCAGAGGTGAGAGATGGTGCACATTAGTAGCATCATATAGTTAATGGAAAAGGTCACTATTCTTCTGTTAATGAGGTGGACCAGCATCTTCACAACATTTCTGGTTTTCTTTCCAACACACTTATTAGGAAGGACAGTGTAGTTATATTACATGAACCACAGAATCCTACTGGAGGGATGAAATGCTCTGCATGGATAGTTTAAGCTACTCTTTTTAAAATGTGGTCCATGAACTTATAATTAGAAGTCATCTCAGGAAACAAATTCTTCATGGCTTTCTAGAGCATCAGGAAAACGTGAGGACCCTGCAGAGCAGCTGTGGGGAGGATGTGCTATCGAGTGAACTGCCAGCCCAGCCCAGCCCAAACACCACCACCCGCTGGTCCTATCGGCAGGAAATGCTCTGCCTCCAGGGAGGCTGGGGTGACACTGAAACCCCCATGGGAAACACCAAGTCCCTGCTGGATGCAGAGAAGCACAAAGCAGTGAGGGGGAAGGCTGAAGCAAACCCCAGGAGCCAAGCAGAAGGGCAACAGTGCAACTGCACCTGTAGCGGGGAGGGGGAGGGAGTATCTTCATTAGTGGGATTAGCCTGTAGGAAACTCAGAGGTTCTGTCAGAAGCAGGGAGGGAGCCTTGTGCTGGTTTTACCAAGGTAAGGTCTCTGCCACTGTTCAAACCTTCAGTCTAAGCTAGTACAGAAGCTGTACAGGAGGGGTCTTTGTTTAGAGGCAGGGGAAATACTGTAAGGGGCGGGGGGGAGAAGAGAGGCAGATACATGATGTATGTAACTCAGAAGCAGCCAGGTCTGGATCATGCTAAATCTTCTCTCCAAACCCAAACGTTCCTCAAGGGTTTACCAACTGCCATGGCCATAGGAGCAATGGTTATCTGTGATCACTTGTATTTCTTGGGAAGCTTTTGCATTTTACCCTTGAAAAAATGAAGCTGTGTTTTGCCAGGAAGCAAAGGCTGAGCCAAGGGAGTGTGTGGGCTGTTGGCTTAATGTGCCTGATGTAACGCGTGCAGAAAGGGTGTGTGAGTTCTCAACCTGTGTCTCCAGAAGGATCATTCCTTTTCTTATTCTCCCTTCTATAGGTTTCCTTCACACTCTGTCCTTAGACTCCTTAAGCAAATGGATTGTCATTCAGCTTTAAAGTCCTTAAGCTAAAATCTTTCACTGTAATTTAGCTCCTTTTGATTGTCTAAGCAGTGGTGGAGAACTCAGCATCTTTCCCTCTCCCTTTGCAACTTGTTATGTATCTCTTGTGTAACTCTCTCAGTGAACTTTGCCTCTTGTCTATGCTCTCTCCTACTGTTTTTAACTTCCAGATCTGCTTTTCCCTTCAATGGCAGTTCTTTCTCATCTATGTATGTGTGACTGCATATACTAGTAATAGGACTCAGTGCTTTGCAACACAAGGCAATTTTCCTTGCATTACAAACATACATAAATGTTCCTATTGTAAACCAGTTTGATCTGTGCTCTCACTTAGGAGAATAATAGGAACCTCTTCTGCTGAGTAACTGCCTATCTATTTTCAAGCAGCCCACTTTAAAAGTTGGCAGCTGTTTTATTTATTAAATCAATGTCATTGTAGCTATGCTTTTAAATGGCTGAGGTCTTTTATTGGGGGGGCAAAGTCTGCCTAATATAGGCCATCAGAGTTGGCCTATGTTAGTTGTCACAAATCATTTGTAAGTGGCAAAGCCAATGTAAAGAAATACTGTGTAACTTAATAAACATGTTACCATCTTATTCTGTAAAAACTAAACTGTTTCTTAGGAAGGAAGGTACCATTTATCAACAGCTTCAGGGTGTAAAAGTTCAAGATGGTGTGTGGTAATGTAAGCATGCTTTTGGCACGGTTCTGAACAAGTAGAGAGTTATTTCATTTTTATTTTGAGGCTGAGAGGCAGCCGAACCTTTATCATGGGTCTAAAGAGCACACATAAACATTGGGTTGTTTTTTCCAGTTCACTTAAATCTCAGTAAACAGGGTTATGCTTACAGTGAGAATTATTTTGGCAGCTATAGCAGAAGGCAAGAGAGATGTGGATAGTTCACACCATTAAGAAAAAGATAA